CAACGCTTCCTTCACCTATGCTAGGGTTATGACGTGCCTCTGCCACTGAAGTGGTATCTAGACAGAAATAAAGAAGGCTTGTCAGTTATGGAGGTGGAACTTAGTAGTTTCTAGTATGTGACCATAGAAACCAGTCCTGAAATTATGCTGAGAAAAAGGATTTATAAAACATACGGTGACAAAAAGGTAACTTTATTAAAAAAAAGAGACACCTTTCTTGAAGTTGCTAAAGTTGCTGTAATGGTTATGCCTAACATCAGATACTTAAGATACCAAAAGGTTAACCATTGATAGGTCAGGTAATGTGGAGTCAAGGAAAAGAGAGATGTAATTAAAATAAAAATAGCACCATATCAGCATTTAGTTCCCTGTATTATAGATAAAAAGATGAAAGCCAGCAAACTTCAACAAGCCAGTATTCTGAAAAAGCGGTATTAATTCCATCTTAAAACTTTTACCTATGGAAAAGACTTTACTTGAGTCTGGCTTTGAGTCAAATGGGCAAGAAAAGCTTTAACGCTTGTATCACAGCACAGCACAATGCAAACACAGAGAAGCTATCCTCACCCGAGCTGGTCTTTCAGCAACAAGTGAAGGTAGTCCTCAACTGTATAGTACCTCTTCTGCAAATAAGTACTCTAGTATCTAAGGCCAGCAAATATAAGTTACAAAGCCCAAATTTATAGAAAATGAAACACAGAATTTTCTTACCTACAGCTGCATTTGTTCCACCAACATTTATGTCATTTTCATCATCAAATTCTATCCTGACACCTTTTCCATTGCCTGCTGACACACCACAGCCTCCACTTCGGCAGAGGGAAATTGGAACAACTCCATACACATAAGCCAGCATAATAGGAACACCAATACCTACAGAGGAAAGCACAGTCTTTCATTAAATCTGACTTATATTTTAGAGCCTTTCATAAACGCTATTTCATTTTCCATGATTACTTAGTATTTTCACACTTGAAAGAAATCGGGATGGAGCAAAATTAAGAAACATTGGTAAATCACTCAGGTGAAGTGACAGGAAAGTACTTTCAGCATGCAAAATGTCTTCTATTGGCACTGGTAGGCAGAGAAGCTTAATGCTTGATGAATAACGACCATAACATCTTTTATAAACAAAGTGGAAATAGTTTAAAAGGTTCATATAAGCTCCATCAGGGACTGTAATAATGTTCCACCTGAGAAGTAGAAATAGCAGAAATATTTCAAATGTTATTCAACTAAAAATGTTACTGCCTCTACTAATTTAATAAGGGCCTTGATTTTGCATCCACTGAAGTCAGGGATTTGCTATCAATCTAATAGGACTTAACATTATTATTACTGTGGGATCTTTCATATTTATTGTATCACATTGATTCAATTTAAAAATTTTAATTATACAAGTTTTCCTTAAAAGTAAAATTCTGTGGAGTAGAGTGGCAGGAGTTAAGGGAAACCAGTGAAAGGAACTGTGGGCTAAAGTGCACGCAGATATTTGCAGACATCCATCCCACCACTTCCAGTGGTCTATGAAAGTTACTCCTTTGGCATGTGAATTAAAGCATCCTACAACTTTGCCGATGAAAGTACACAAAGTACAGAAAAAACAGTAGACTGAAAAATGGCAAGCTGGCACATTCTGAAAAAGCCAGAAGAGAGACAGACCCAATGCAAAGGCTCCTCCGTCTAACCTAAAAGAAGAGTTCCAGTTATAAGAAGTCCTTTGCACTAGAAATTTGTCAGCATTCAAGGAGGAAATCCATATTCTCAAGGTCATTAATTTGGAAGCCATATAATGTCCTGAGACTGAAGGCTATGTGTTAATGGCAACAAAGAAGAGTAAAAACTCCACAAAATAAAACTCAACTGCTTTCCCTAAAAAGTGAAATTTTATCTCCAGTCAGGAATAAGAAACAGCTCAAAAGAATGAGGTAAAGGAGACCTCTAAATACTTCTATAAGACTTTGTGTCCCACTGCCTGTTAAGCAGGGATCTGACACCACAGCTACGTGAGAACAATGCAATGCAGAGACAATACCTGCATTTGCACAGTGGTCCACCATTGCTAACAAGCAGTTCAGAGCCACAGCTTCACAGCTGATTTAAACCATCACTTGCCAAAAGTGGCCCTGTCTTCCTGAGGCCACTCATTCCTCTCTGAACAGTATGTCTGGCACAAGGGGGAACACTGCATACACAACTGCGTGATGAATCGAATCAGGGGAGTGATCCAGCTTAAAACTAATGGTGGGTCTTAACGTGAATCAGTTATCCACGGCAGCTTACTGTGCAACTGTAAAGATGCCTGTGTTGCAACAAAGGAGAAGCAAGGCAGTGCTGGGCAAGTCCACTTCATTCAAAAAATTCAGAGTTTGTTTACAGTGATCTTGAAATTACATGGTAAGACAACACAAGTATTTTGTAATATACAGCCAGATTTTCCTCAAATGCTATCCTCAACAATCCCTATGAGAAAGAATGTGATAGAATTCAAACTGACTCCCAGAGCATAATAAATAACTGTCATCTACTGCCATGTTAAGTGTAAGAGACTATTTTTTTTCCTGTGTTGAGAAAAGTTTGATAGGAAGTTACTCAAATACGAACAGACTCTGTGGCAACAATTTTTTCTTGGTCAGTAATTTTAAAAAAGCTTTACATACTTCAGTTTTAAAAGTTAGGTATGACAATGTGGAAACTTCAATTTGCAAGATAAAAATTTTTACTTCATTTTAATACAGCGTTTCCTGAAGTATTGTATTCTCCATTCTGCCCCAATAAATATATAGCCTTAGACTCTTCATTGTCTCAGTTCCTTCACCTATAAAAGGAAACTATGGGACTTCTCAGCTGTTTTATTCATGAGTGCTTAGAGAGTTCTGGTTGCAAGGTGCTACCAATACACAAAATAGTAATATTTGCTTACCTACAGTTACTGCAGCTACAACTGGAGAAACAATTACAGATAAGGTGACACCACCCGCTATAGCCAAGTTTCGCTTGTGCTTTGACATGTCTTTGCCTTCGTATCGATTGTGAATCTTGAGAGAAGAAAAGAAAGGGGTTTTAGAGCATTGTCATCATCATCATCAATACATTGTTGCAAGGATGGAAGAACTGACATAATAGTTTGGAATCTGTATGGTGCTCTCTTCCAGAGAGACCACATTCTATGTCACCATTTATTTCTTATCTAAAAGAAAAGAAAATTTATCCATTTCTTAATTTTAGGCAACTTCTTAAAAGTTAGAAGTCCTCCCATCCAGCAACTAAGCATTTACTTTCACCCTCAAGTTAGAAAAGTTAAATCATTGAACAGCTCTTTCTTTGTTTAATCATTACTCCAGCTTACATGGGTGGGAAAAGTAGAGTTTTCAGAATCAAAGAACTACCACATCTGATCAAACTGACACTTCTTATTCCCAGCCATCTTTCCCCTGAACAACATGGAGTGAAGCTTTCACAGATTATTATATCCATGGAAACAGAGGCTGACATTAACAGTCATGAAAATCTTGTAGTAAAGCAGCCTTCACCAAACATAGCTGGGGAGGGGGAGAGCAAGAACTCCTTTGCTCTGGCACCCTCTCATGACAAGCTGTTGAGACAGGAAATATTTTAACAAACCTGAGTCTTAGCTATGCTACTATTTACCGAGGAATCTACCAACCAAAACCCTTACTGATGGTGCAAGTCTGCAATAGCTCTGAAATGTGACTGCCTCAAACTTATCTATACAAGTCCCATATGAACCTGAAAAGCCTTCAAAGATCACTGTTTTACAGAGATTTCCTACTTGTTGTGTGTTTTATTTACTCTCTCTAGGAACATGGCTTTTCAGGGATATGCACTTCATCTGTCATCTTTCTTGGTTAAGAAGTAATTACAATGGAGCAAAAGGTCACTATTTGAATGGCTGTCATGAGGCTAAGTTAATCTTCACTACATCTAAGGAGGAACACGAAAGAGAACTAAAAGGATAATCACAGTATTTTTACATCAATTTGCTACTGCAAAAAGACTGAAAAAAATGAGCCGGAAGTTTTATTGAGTGTTCTTTCTGAATTATAATTGTAATCAGAGATTTGGCAGGGTTGTTCTCATTTTGGAATAAACTTGAAGTATTTGCATTTGTTCAGGCAAGACAGGCCAGGAAAGGGCAGAGAAGACACGGTATAACGAGAATGCATTTACTTGCACTGAAGTACATTATACAAAGAGCAACATGGAGTGAGGGAGCACCTGAATGTGGAACGTACCTATGGATTAAAAAGGAAAGTTGAACATGAACACTCTCAGAGTAAGAATTACATGAGTAAGAATTACAAACCCAGGAAGATTAGGTTTCACGGGGCTCTGTAAGCAATTAGCAGGATCACCTCAGGCACTGAATTTTACTGTTCTTATGGGCAATTCTAACTACCAAAAAGAAAAACCATACAAAGAAAGATATCTATAAAGGCTACTGAAATCCTTAAACATAAAGCAACAAAAAGGAACAGAAGGGAATGGTTACAGAGGAGAAACTGATTGAAAATACGAAACTAGAAGGTTACATTGGTAGGAATGACTATGAAATGAGACTTCCAAATATTGAGTAAAGAATAAAGAATACTCAAATAAAAACACTAGGCCAGAAGAAGAAGGATTTCCATAAACCCAGAAAACTGGCAGGTTACAAGACTTATATATATAAAAAGAGAGGACTAGCACTTCCTTAAGGAAACTCTATCAAAGCACAAGTACAAACTCCTCCAATGCAGCAGACAGAATGTTGTAAAAGAACAATGAAGCTTCCTTTACTGAAGCAGCAGCATTAAGAAAATAGAAAGCAGGTCAGATTACTATGAATGGGTATAAAGGAACAGCATGAAGGTGTCAGGACAAAATTAGAAAGGTTAAAATAGAAGCAACAAAAAGCAAGGGATGAAGTCAACAAGAAATTATTCTACAAGTACAGCGCTAGTAAGATGACCAAAATGGATCAATTTGATATTTAAGAAAAAGAAAAGACAGCCAGCTGATCAAACTCGAGGCCTGTTCAATTTTCCCCACCCCCCCTTCAGTTGTCACTAAAGATCAACTGTGAGCCAAGTGACTGGTGACAAAGGAGTAAGATCTGTAGGAACACAGCAGGTTAGAGAGTACTCACATGAACTGATCTGAAAAATATCTCAGCAGGCCCAATTTCAGAGCCTGTAATAATAATTTTTGAAAATTATTATTCATAGAAGATGTCTGAAAAAAAAAATCAGGAAAAATGGAAAAAGTTAAACTGCAATGATAATCTTTAAAAAACTGTAAAACAAGAAGCTGGGGAATTAAAGACCAGTGAAATGAACTTTGATTTCCTGAAAATTGGGAACTTGTAGACACCAAAGCAAATCCAGGAAATAAAGCAGTCACACTGATTTTTTTTCAATTAGAAATCACATCTATTTAATTTTCTTCTGTGACAAGATAGCTAGCCTTAAGGATGGGGAGAAACAGATGTCATGTGCTGACTTGAACAAAATTTTGACATTTTCTAGTATGACACTCAACAGGTTGTAATGGTCCAGATTGAAAAATGGACTAGAGAAAACTATTAGCTTTGTATAAAACAGAAAACATCCGAGTTGTGATTAGTTTTGGTTTTTTTACTCCCCAGATTGAAACTCTTCACCATATACTTTTCCAAGAGACATGCCCAGGATACAAGAGTATTCAACATTTTCATTAACCTGGAAGAGAAGAGAAGAACATGTGTGTTGAATTTCAGGCCAATACAATCTGGCAAGGTCACAAGAATGCCAGAACTTATACTAGTCTGAAGTAGTTGAAAAAACGGCCTGAAATGACTAAGATGCAGCACAATGGTAATGAGTATATGTTTTAGAGTAGACAAAATAAAAATAGCTATAAAATAATAAATATAAAATAATAAAAATAGCTGCTATATTCAAATTGGACAAAAACAAAGGTGGTATGAACTGGAAGGAAATCCAGAACATATGATGAGAATCAGAGGTCTAAACCAGTGTGTTTTCTTGACAGTTTGTCAAGAAAAACTGGAAGTGCTAGGTTTGTTCAGAGATAAAATTGAAAGTGGACTTTAAAAAAAGTCACCAAATATGTAATGGGATATTGCAAAGCAAAAGGTTTCTTTATGTCAGCTGAAGATAGGGCAGTAAGAATTTAGTGTAGGAAGAGGATTTACATTAATGTTATAAAAATAAATTTTACTAAGAAAATTAGGCTTGGAGAGCCTGTGGAACCTCCATAAGCAGATGTTTTGAAGAAAAGTGCAAACATGAGACTGCTTTCACAGACTAACTTTGAGACTTCACCATTAATACCCTAAAGGTGCTTCGCAATGGGGACCTATCCCAAAATCTAGTAAGAAAAGCAGAACATGCAATAGTAATTTGAAACAGGGAACTGCTGTCGTCTTCCTCTTATAATTTATAAGGTTCCAATCTCTGTAGGGGACTAAGACAAAACAGAATAAAAGGGTCAAAAAACAACTGTAGCAGAAGGTAGGAGTACTCGCATAAAAGATGAAAAAGAATACAGTGGGAAAGCTCCATCCCTGGACCTTTTGTCTAGCAGCAACAGCTCATGTAGGAGAGAAACACTTCCCCCCACCAATAAATGTAGAAGTATGTGTCTGACAGTCACTGTGAAAATCCATGCTGATAAAAGCAGAAAATCAAATCATCTAGTTGTGCCGTTCAGTACATGTAACCGAACACTTAGCACCTGCTGAAACAAGCCTTCATTTCAAAAAGCCCCTTTCCAAAAGATCTAGTTAACTTACTACTTTATCCTAAATTACAAATAGGAGATATAATTATATTTTGTTTTCCTTGCAATTTGTCATTTACTTTATACTAAAAGCTATTATATTTTTTGAGAGGAAATACATCAACTGTCTTCTGATTAACATGGTCATTTCTAGCCGATTCCCACAAACAGTAAAATGAAGACTGATGCTGCCTAGCTACCTGCCCTGAACACTGCTCCACATGGTCGACTGGCCCAAGGCAATTAACAAGCTGCCGAGTATAAGTGCTTGAATGTGTGCATGCACAAACTTGTATTTGCAGAATTTTATACTAAAATACTGGTAACTATCTGCTTTTAAGAAAAATAAGAAGGATTTCCTTTTTGCCTTCCTTCTCCTCTAAATATTGTTTAATTCTAAGGGAAATCAGAGATTAAAGACAGAGTAACTTTGAAAAAGCACACAAAAACTTCCATGGCAAGATGCAGAATCTGGAAATTGTTCAGTGTTTTGGTTTGCCTGTTTTAAGAACTACATTCTTAAAAACACTGCTTTTCCTTCCTGTACAACAAACAAATATTCTTAAACAATTCAGGCATTGGTTTGTTTGGTTTTGTGGGGGTTGTCTGGGTTTTTTTGTTTTTGTAAAGGCTGGTGAAGATAGCCAACTGAATATAGTACTACCCAAATCATACAATGCAGAAAGTAAAACCTGAAGCATGTTAGGCGTTGTAGCACGTTTTACCTTACGTCCCACATACACAGGAATTCCAATAATCATAGCAGGAATAGCAATGCCAGCTATTAAGGCAATTCCTACAGGAGCCCCAACAAGCGTCCCTAGTTGCCACAGTATTTTCTTCTTACGGCTCCATGGTTTCTTTCCCCAAAATGTGCAACCTGATGGGCTAACAGAAAGAAGAAAACTGTAAATAAATTGTAAATAAATCCACATAACTAAACACTACTGAACTGTTCTCTAGTTATAGAATTATTGGTCTTAGGTTCAAGCTACAGACTTAACCTCAAGCACAAATACATGCTGGGGGATGACGGCATTGAGAGCAGCCCTGAGAAGGACTTTGGGGTGTTGGTAGATGAGAAGCTCAACATGATCCAGCAAGGTGTGCTTGCAGCCTAGAAAGCCAACTGTATCCTGGCCTGCATCAAAAGAGGCGTGATTAGCAGGCCACGGGAGATGATTCTCCCCTTTGCTCTGCTCTCATAAGACCCCACCTGGAGTACTGCATCCAGCTCTGGGGCCCCAGCATAAGAAGGACATGGAGCTGTTGGAGAGAGTCCAGAGGAGGCCACGAAGATGATCAGAGGGCTGGAGCTTCTCTCCTATGAACACAGGCTGAGAGAGTTGGGCTTGGTCAGCCTGGAGAAGAGAAGGCTCCAGGGAGACCTTAGCGCAGCCTTCCAGTACCTAAAGGGGCCTACAGGAAAACTGGAGAGGGACTATTTACAAGGGCATGTAGTGATAAGACAAAGGGGAATGGCTTGAAGGTGAAGGAGGGCGGATTTAGATTAGGTGTTAGGAAGAAATTCTTCCCTGTGAGGGTGGTGAGGCACTGGAACAGGTTGCCCAGAGAAGTTGTGGATGTCCCCTCCCTGGAAGTGTTCAAGGCCAGGTTGGATGGGGCTTTGGGCAACCTGGTCTAGTGGAGGGTGTCCCTGCCCATGGCAGGGGGGTTGGACCTGGATTATCTTTAAGGTCTCTTCCAACCCAAACCATTCTATGATATGGATACCAAATCATCAGTTATAATTTCTTCAGGTTTTTTTTTTTTTCCTTTACAGCATATTTCCCAATGTAAAGAGAAGCATATTGCATATTACCACATGCCAATTTGTGGTTCACAGGTAATTTATATAATCAGATTTTTTGTATTGCTTTCTACAAAGACAATACAGCAGTATTAAGAGTATTAAGCAGTAAAAATAGTGGGTATGTTCATCTAAACCACTTCTTTTGTCGTACTAAGTATGCAAGCATGAAAAAAAAATTTAAAAATAAAAAATAACAAACCACTAATTTAAATACATGCATTGAAAACTAACTGAATTCTCAGATATGGATACTTCAACTATGATTTACTCCCACAGGAAGAAAGCCAGACTTAGAGCACTTAGGAATCTACTTACATATACTTCAGAAAACAAGTTACCAACCACACAGAATTTTATTTTTTTCTTACATGTACCTTAAATAATGTAAATCTGAGATCTCTTTCATACATAGCCAACAGAATTCACAGCCACAGACAGCACAAGTCATATGATTGCAGCTTCCATCATTCATTTTTATTATATAAGCAGCACAGCGCGGGCATGGCTTTATGTCATCAGCTGTTTGAAAATGAACATTAAGATCATATCAGTTCTTTAGACAAGAATATTTAATCAAAATATAGACATATGTTTGGGAAAACTGACTGAACCATTATCTGAAAAATTGAAGTTTATTATAAATTTGCTTTACAAATCTTGATTTGGCAATGACTTGATAGCTATTGGTATTTGTAAACCTTGGACCAAGTAAAACTAATGAAAACAAGGCAGCGTAGATCACATTCAAGTAATTGAATAGTTAATGCATACACACTGTTCAAGGATTTTCTAAGCTTAATCCAATATATATTAGTTGGACATTAAATATATATGTTAATACAGGACTGCTAATATGGTCTCTTTAAATATAATCCTCTTTTACATTTCATGCTGTTATGAATCTTTTACTTGAATATTCAGTCTCTACTCTGTCAATTCTTCTTATCTTAAATCCATCTCCCCCCCTTCCACATTAAATGCATTTCTCTGGTCTCACCAACCTCTTCGAGTCCTTTTCACAGCCCTACTTAATACCCACTTAGTCCCTAAAAAAATACTGTTGAAAAAAGAAGATTCTGGAGACTCTCCTTGTTCCTAAGTCAAATATTGAAAAATGCAATTAAGTGACTAGCACTATCATTAACAAACAAGGAGTCATTGAGCAACAGTGAAATACTTGCATACTGACAGAACCACAGTTGTGATCTTCATTCTTTCACATTACTGATTAGCATTTGCCCTTTGGGACAAGCTATTTACTCACAGCAGCAGAAATAACTTACAGCTCCTAGTGCGGAAGTCCAAGCTTACTGCCTCTGTGCTACTAGGTAGGACAAAGGGAAAAGAGGGGTTCTACTTGGTGTAAAGAATACCCAAATTGGTGCAGAACCATCAGAATCGGTACTTCTACCCATTCCAGTGCAAAAGGACAGTGAGCAGCTTAAAGGATGCACTAGCTATTCCGAGATGGGAACAGACGCACAACCTACAGGGCAGTAACTAAACTGAACAAGTTCTTACAGCACAGGTATGGCAGAGCTACTGCTGTTCATGCTGGCAGTGACTGAAAGGGGACGGAAAGGAGCTGGCATGCCAATTTATTTGAAGTTTATTTTAAAATTTATTTGAAAACTAGAGCAAGATGCCAATTTTTAAAACAAGATGGAGTGCCTTGTTAAAATGAGCCAGCAAAACAACAAATTAGAGACTCCCACGACAGCTCTAACTACATTCAAGGTGCAAGAGAGACTCTTCTCCCCAACTATCTTGTTTGGTCAGGGAGACACAAAAGCTGCCAAATAGATCAGAGTTTGGTGAAACTTGGAGTCAACTATTATCAATAGCAAACTGGACTCTTGCTCTGCATAATACCGCTCTGAACAGTTTATCCTTTTTTTTGTGGAGTTATAAACAAGTTCAATTTTAAGAAAGTGGAATTGTTTGCTTTCTGGTACCCAAGACAAATGAGCATTTTATTGAAAAACAGAAATCAGCGCTAACTAACAGTGCTAACAAACAGATGTCAAACATCATAGCTGGCATCAGACTAATAGTCTCTTCTGAAAGCAGAAAAACAGTGGGTTTGAGTTTTATTTTTAACAACTTTTATTATTAGCAGCCCTGTGAAATTTCACCTACAGTGGAGAAAATAAGTGTTCCCAGTGTGTAAGTGATACAACTAATCAAGTCTGCCTGCCAAACACAGAGAATGCTTTGCAGCAAGTTCCTTTGACTTCACATTTTTTAGCTACAAAGGTTGAAGTGCTAACAACCTGTAAGATTGAAGTCAGACACTGTGGTCACAGAGTACTTCAAATTGTAACATTCAAAATTTGAATTCAAACTTAAAATTGTATATTTTGTGCTTCTGAAAGACAAAGAAGCTAGTATCTACCATGCTACTACTCAGTTCTTTCCCTTTTAGAGTTAACCGTGCAAGTGTACCAAAAAGATATTTTACAGACACAGTATCCTAATCATAAATACCTGCTGCTCCAGATTCCTGGCTGTAACTAATAGATGAAGAACGAATTGTTCTCAGGCGCAGACTTTGAGCTCTCTCCTGGCGAGCAGCATCGCAGGTCTGGTTTGGATGCCAAATCTGCTTACAGTGGTAGCAAAATTCAGTTCCACAGCCTTCTCGTCCACATGTAAGTTTGGGACAGCTGGCACATCCAAAAGCGATCACAGCATATCTTGAACGATCAAGAGGGGCAAAAGAGAATTTTGTTAATAAAAACAGTCCTATCTATAGACTAAAGCAGACAAGACAGCTGCCAGAGCAGCTGAAGCAGGTACAAAGGCAGTAGATATCAGGAGTTGATATCAGGTAGTCAGCACAGGTTCCTTACAACCTCCTTCCACAACTCTACTGCTATTGCTTTAGACTAAGACTGTACAGAAATACTACAATCACTGTAACACTTTGCTCTTCCCCACCTTAATAACTTCATGCAGTACTGAAATATACCATATTTACATCTGAATGCAGTACTGTAAGGTTTTGTAAGTCACAAAAGAACCACAGTTTAGAAGAATGGGACAATTTAAACAACTACAAAAACTCAGTTTCAGAAGTGTCCCAGTCACTATGGGCACGTCTAAGCTTGACCCTTTCTATAATCTGGGAGGATCCTTGCTAAGTGATCTGTAGTGTAATCCACTACTGTAAAGGCATCTGACTTTGTACTGCATGACATTTTAGTATTTTACTGGTTGCCTTTTATCATGAATACCACTATCTACTTTAAATAGATGTTTGTTTACTCTCTGTATTTTAAAATGTCAAAACAGCAAAGCAAGTATTTTTATAAACAAGGATTTTGGTTTCTCAGTTAAGCCAATTTCTTTTTTTTTTTTTTTTACTTTTTTTAAATGCATTTCAAACTGTAAATGCAGAAATTGGTAAGAGTTCAGGGCCTCATTGCTGCCTTTACTCTGACAATACTATAGAGTAAAAAGCTCCAAAAACGTTGAGACTGACAAAACTGTGGTACACTTTTTTGTAAAAAGACACTACACAAACAGTTCTATACAATGACAGAGTTGTTGCCACAAATCAATTCCTCCATCAGGTTTGCACTTTGAAGTTCATGTGATAAAAAACACAATGTGTATTATAGTTCATACACCTTAATTCCTCCCCATTGTAATTTTTCAATGACGTTATGCAATAGCTTTCTTTTAAATAGAAAACAACACTAGGTCCACTGGTATGAACACTTAAAACAGATCTATAGTTTTATTCATGTGAACAGTCCCCCTGAATAGATTTCAGATTTATAAATGCAGCAGGCCTTAAATTTATGGCTGTTCAAATGAAGGTAATTTTATTTTAAAAGACTAAATTGTCTATTTTTACCCCCTACCCAATTTATAGCATGAAATTAACTCAAAATACTCTATCAGTAATGATATTAAAAAAAAATTCCCCCTCACGTATCTATCTTAAAATTTAGCTATTTTCATTTTAGAGTAGCTACATTTGAAAGTCTGTAAAGTTAATACAAGTCCTATCCCCTTCGTTAAGTGCTTTAAAACAGCATGTTTGAGGTTACCCCCATGACACCCAAGAAGTTCTGCAAACAAATAGAAGTTTTCAACATTTAATTTATGGATGATGCAGTTACAAATAACAAAGAGAAACATGCTTGACTGATTTCAAACATTTCTTACTTTCCAAGTAAAAATTTGTTTCAATACTTGCTCTTCTATATTGTTGCCAAGTTAACCAGCTCTATTTTCCCCACTTACAGCAACTGAAGAAATAATTGCTCTGTATGTACACAAAGAGACTCTGATCCAAACGCTTCTTCAACATAAGGGATACGTCCAAGACTCACAAATATTACATCAGTTTCAAGCGCAGGCCACAGAATGAAGTATCAATTTATATCCTGCCTCCCATTGCTAACAAAGAATGGGTGCATTCTTTCTTAAGCACCCAGAAAGCATTCCCCCATTTGGGACTCGCATACCTTTAGAAAGTAACTTTTTAGACCAGAGCTAATCTCAGTTCAAACTGTACAAGATTTAATTTCAACATTTTGCATTTATTTTACAGGTGATGTGAAAGCCAAAAGTTCTCATTAGGCTGAGAGAAGGGACAAACAACCAAATTCAAAGTAGTAACATGTAAAACAAAAACCAGAGGCAAAGAGCAATTAATCGAAGAAGGATATACAGTGAGAACAGGAATGAAGAATTTGCACTCTCGCCCAATCTGCTTTTTGCTTGACAAAGACAAGAAAATCTAGGAATCGCGGCTCTCTCCTAATATTGTCAGCAATACAATCTCAGAGCAAAACCATTAAATAATTCAGACAGAAGAAAAGACACAACAAATTTGGAATACTGATTCACTAAGGCTTGTTAAAATAACATCGAAAAACTGACATGAAGAAAGAGAATCTCATAGCCTGGAACAAAGCCCAAGAGGTTTCCTTCTCCATGCTTCTTCCCCAGGCAACGATCACCTATTTGCCAGTGTCCCCTGCCAAGCCAGTACAGGTGGGTGGCAGCTGGTCCAGACTTTTACAGTATTTCAGTTAACAACACCTATCAGGATGCATTTGAGCTTGCAACAAAAGCTGGGGATGAAGCAACCCAGGGTCAGAAAGACCACAATGCCAGTAGTATGGACCATTTCTGGCACCGGATTTCTTTAGGGCTAGAGACCCCACAGCTCCCAGCCACCTCCTCCAGGGCTTAACTACTGCAATAGAGGCTCTCCTCCAAACTGGTCTGTAGTTCTCTTGTTGCGAAGATCCTAAGAAGTTCTCCACTGAGACAGGAGAAGTATAATACACTTAATACCACAGATAGCTCTGTTTCAAGATCTGGTTTTTTCCAGTTTTGCCATTTCTAGGACCTGTTTTTATCCCAAATAGAGTGAAAGACAGCTGAAAGAGGTATTTACTTCTTAACTATTCTTTGTTGTTTCCTGAGAACACAGGGGCCCACGATGTAGGAAGAAAACACCAAACATTATGACAGACTAACCTGGCTTCCCTCCTTTTTTTTTTCCCCCCTTTGTCCTCCCCC